CTGTCCCACCAACTCGCCTTCGTCAAGGGGGACTTTATGGTGGGTCACGACGTCTGTCTGCCGGCATCCGGAGAGGGTACTAACACAACATCTGTCTAGCAAATGGACTTCCCCGACAACAGCTTCGATGCCGTCTACGCAATCGAGGCCACCGTCCACGCCCCCAAGCTGGCGGGTGTCTACAGCGAGATCTTCCGGGTGTTGAAGCCCGGCGGTGTGTTTGGCGTGTACGAGTGGCTGATGACGGATGAGTACGACAACGATAATATCGAACATCGCAAGATCCGTCTCGGCATCGAGCAGGGCGACGGCATCGCCAACATGGTCAAGATCTCGGAGGGCCTGGAGGCGATGAAGATTGCCGGGTTTGATATGCTGCACCACGAAGATCTCGCGGACCGCCCCGACCCCATCCCGTGGTACTGGCCGCTAGCCGGCCGGTGGAAGTACATGCAGTCCATGTTCGACGCCTTCACGATCGCGCGCATGACATGGTGGGGTCGCTTCCTCGCACACAACTTCGCCGGTCTCCTGGAGACGGCCAAGCTCGCGCCGGCCGGCACCAAGAAGACGGCCGAGAGTCTGGGTGAGGCGGCCGACTGCCTTGTGGCGGGTGCCGAGAAGCACCTCTTCACACCTATGTATCTGATGGTGGGCAAGAAGCCCGAGCAATGAGATAAGACGTGACGACGACGATGATGACGGAACAAAGCTAGAAAAAAGTGGGATTATATACAACGGATGGATCCCTGAGCCGGCGTGGTGGGGCATAGCCACGGCACTGAAAATACCCATCTATATAATACTTAATGATCGAGAGGCGAGCCATGGCAAGGCAAGGCAAGGCAAGGCGAGTTAACGCATAGCGTGTGTGAAGAATAAGCATTCAATCTTGGCCAGGCTGATAGGGCGGATATGAATGCCGCCGTCTGGAATAGAAGCAGCCTGTTGCTCGCGTCAAGAAAGGACCCAGCATCTGAAATATCATGGATATCGTGGAGTTATATGAATTCGTTACAGTGCATAATTCTAAGATTTTATCCAACGCGTCCCTTTTAATCAAGATGCATCAATTGCCCGATCTAGGAGCCATCTATGATTACTTCAATACAGCTGTGCATATCGGGTTGCTGACATGCTTACTCAATCGTCGGAGCGTCCCCAACGGAAGAAGCGGGTCCGGTACCTTGAAAGCGACTCCGTTCTCTGTATACTAAAGCGGTGGAGGAAGCAATCGACAGTCAGCTCAGAAGTGAATTGGTTTATGATAGGAAGCCATAAATTAGTATATTGGCCTTGTACTCTTTCTTGTACATGAGAAGAAGGGACTCAATTGATAGATTTGGGAAAATAGAATATAGTAGTAAATCGGGAGGCATCTGCTTAGTTCCAGGGGGGTTTATGGACCTCTACTCGGGGTTGCGCCGGCGATATTCAATTAGGTTCCGATGTAGGGGCCTTGATGGTAGGGAAGGTGATAGGGGATCTGGGGGCGCTTTGCCTAAAGGGGGATGGGCTAGGCCACTATAGGAATAGCGGGGAACGGCACCAAGCCCAACACGCTGGCCGTTTGGTTTTGACAGGAGAAAAAAAGTTGGGACGGGCAGCGCGCGACAACTTGGAAGGCTCGGTGAAGTCCCAAAAAGCTGACAGTGAGCAAGCTACCTAAGCTAGGCTAATCGCCAATCGCTAATCAAAAAAATCACTCTCATATCCAGGCTAATCCCTTCCTCCTCATCAACCTCTCGTCTTCGCATCCTCTCCCGACCCATCAACCCTCCAACCCCCAACGCCCCGTCGCCCGTCACCCGTCGACGGACCGGACTGCCGCCTCCATTCTTCGCATCCTTTTCCCCTTCTTCAATTCTTCTCCTCCCGTCTAATATTTGCGTCGGTCCGTCCTCGTCAACCCGCCATGTCGCGCTATCTCCGTCCGGCCACGCGGTTAGCGGCCTCTGCCCGCCTTGCGACAGCCCCTCGCGCCCTCCCCCGGCTCGCCTCGCCCGCCTCCTTCGCCCTGTCGCAGCGGAGGACCTTTGCCGATGTCAAGGGAGTCAAGGAGTACACAGTGCGCGAGGCCTTGAACGAGGCCATGGCCGAGGAGCTGGAGCAGAACGAGAAGGTCTTCATCCTGGGCGAGGAGGTGGCCCAGTACAACGGTGCCTACAAGGTCACCAAGGGCCTGTTGGACCGGTTTGGCGACAAGAGAGTCATCGACACCCCCATCACCGAGAGTGGTTTCTGTGGTCTGGCCGTCGGCGCTGCGCTGAGCGGACTGGCGCCTATCGTGAGTTGATCCGCCACCTATTCCGATATACCGCCTGAGATATGCAATCGTTTGCCTGCATCGATGCCTGTGTCTGCCGTAGAGACCATCATACACTAACCACCACCCGCCGCGCCGTGCAGTGCGAGTTCATGACGTTCAACTTCGCCATGCAGGCTATCGATCAGGTCGTCAACAGCGCCGCCAAGACCCTCTACATGTCCGGCGGCATTCAACCCTGCAATATCACCTTCCGTGGCCCCAACGGCTTCGCCTCCGGTGTCGCTGCCCAGCACTCTCAGGACTACAGCGCCTGGTACGGCTCTATTCCTGGTCTCAAGGTCGTCTCTCCCTGGTCTGCCGAGGACGCCAAGGGTCTGCTGAAGGCCGCCATCCGTGACCCCAACCCTGTCGTCTTCCTCGAGAACGAGCTGATGTACGGTGTCTCCTTCCCCATGTCCGAGGCCGCCCAGAAGGACGACTTCGTCATCCCCTTCGGCAAGGCCAAGATCGAGCGCCAGGGCAAGGATCTGACCCTGGTTTCGCTGTCCCGCACTGTTGGCCAGTGCATGGCCGCTGCTGAAGCCCTCAAGAAGAAGTACGGAGTCGAGGTCGAGGTTGTCAACCTACGATCCATCAAGCCTCTCGACGTCGAGAGCATCATCAAGTCCGTCAAGAAGACCGGCCGCCTAATCTCGGTCGAGTCTGGTTTCCCCTTCGCTGGTATGGGTGCTGAGATCCTCGCCACGACGATGGAGTACGGCTTCGACTACCTTGATGCCCCCGCCCAGCGCATCACCGGTGCTGAGGTGCCGACCCCCTACGCCCAGGGCCTCGAGACCCTGAGCTTCCCCACCGAGAAACTTATTGAGGACTACGCTGCCAAGCTGCTGCGCGTATAAGAGATGAGGCGGAGATGAATTGGTACGAAGATGACGTAGACGAAGAATGGAGGGAACGTGTGCGATACAATAGGAACAAGTCGGAAGAGGCTTCGTTGGTTATAGAATGTGTATGCGGCGTTTTCATCATACCACGCATGTAACTATATTAATTCACACAGGTTGGGCTTGGGGCAACGGGGTTCTGCTCTCTCTGATGTCTCTCTGAATTACACGTGGACGCAGTTTCTGGCCATTGCTTGCGGGAGCTTCCTCTTTACCACCACCACTGCTAAATAAATACCACTACATGACATGTCCAGCTCTTGGTCCCCTCATATTTTCCCCCTTGCCTAGAGTTGGTAATCTTTCTCTCTGGGTATAATACCATGACTGCTCGCCCGTCCTGATGTAATCAGGAAACGAGAGTATGATCGTTAATGCGTTGCGGAAAACTACTCGACAGGTGGCAAAGACACAGGAACAGTGCCTATCCGTGGTAGCCCCTGATTATAGATTCGTGATCAAGTCCTACGTTATCCCACCTACGATGTCATGATCTATTGCCGGCGTTTCGGATGAGCTATGCTGCGCGGGAGATTCGGTTGAGTTGGGTGAGTTCATGGTTAGGACATCATGAGCCAGTACAACTATCGTATTACACTTTGACCGATCCATTGAATTCATCCAGTCCGTCTTCCGCCTTGCACCTTACAGTTGGGGGTAACACCGTCGATGCTGGAAATCGGCAGCCGTCTATTCGGTGGTGTCGGGTAGACAAGTGAGGCATCGATATCGCTCCACTCTGCAATAAGCTCGCAGGGTTGTATTTGTGTGTCTTGACTTCGTTGACGGCCCCTGGCAAACTACAGTTAGGCGGGGGCATATGTGCGAATGATGGTTGCCTCGTAGATACTTGACGCCGTTGCGACTCAGTCGATTGCTATGAACGATATGTTTAGCTCGAAGGCGTGTACCCGCAAAACTCTCGCGTTTCACTTGTTTGTCAATGTTCTCAGTGGCGAGTGTAGCGAGTTTTAAAGCACCCCATCCTAAAGCCCTCGCCTAAGCATGTTCATAGTCATAGTATAGTCGTCATACCACAATTATACTTTGCTTGTTGCGGCGGCATATTAGTCTGTATAAGATTATAGGTGTATTAAATCCTATTGCGGTTCTCTATCCTTGTTTCGATCTTCGGTTTACTATCGCCTCATATTGTTTCTTGGGTCTTCTAAACGTGGGGTTGTGATGATGACTCGTGTGACAAATATGGCTCTGGCAATTTCTTCATATTACCTGTTTTCTTTTCTCCAGTCATTCCCGAGGAAGTAATTACCTAGCTAAGCTCTTACGACATGACAGTTGAATATTGCTTGGCTACACGATCGTGAAATGAGTTCGTCAGTGTATCAACATCTTCCTTCGTCTGCAGATAAATGCTTAGCTTATTATACTCGATAAAGCTACGTACGAGATCTACATTAGCTTATCTAGAGGTCGTACATCAGATATTAGGATCCCAGATGTGATGTTATCACCTTTGTTCATATTAAGTATACCCCTTTATATGAGCCCCAAGCTGTCACTATTACTATAATAATCGCATTCCCTACCTAAGACAACTCGAGCATAAACCTATTGCTTTCACGCTATTTTACAACGTCTCCCACAGAGGCTGAGAGTCCCGCACTACCTAGAATATCTTCCGTACTAGATGAGACACACCCACGGCAGTATACATATCTGTGACACCATACACCTATACCCACTGGTCACACGACTCTCCCCTCGGCAGGCATCCGGTCTTATAACGTACAACAGCGCTTACGTCTTGTATACACTCACAGACGGGGCCCGTAGCTCAGTGGTAGAGCGCTCGCTTTGCATCCCTCGTGCGTAACGGGCACACCAAGGCACACTGCAAAGTGGTCACTCGGGGATTGGTGGTTGCGCATTGAGTTGGAGATTGCGAGAGGCCTAGGGTTCAAATCCCTACTGGTCCAACGAATATTCTTTTTCTTTGTTTTTAGGGAGCTCTTGGTGTATTTTGACAACGCGGCATACACTCTACCCACACATGTTTATCGCACGAACCTTGATTGATCTTTTGCTTTTGATCGAGCAAAGCCAAAAATGCCTTCGCTACCTATCTTGCCCCTACTTCCGGGTAGAGGCATTTAAGCTGCGTATAAGTTCTTATTATCTGCACTTGCGGCTCCACGCGCAAGGTACTTTTTTAAGCATGTTTAAACAAACGACGTCTTAATTAACGAAGGCTATACTAAGCATATGTTTAAGCCGTTGTACCACTCCTACTAAAATACATGGTAAGAAGCAGTTGTATGCGTACTAGGTTGTTTCCCCCCTTACTCTATCTGCTCTCTATTGTGCTTGTTCTACCTATCAAATAATCGGAATATGCTCTCATTCACAAATCATATCCCCCCCAAAAGCCGGCATTGCTACTAGGCCAGCGGACGAGAGAATCGTTCTTAGCTAGTAGCATAATTGTGAAGCTCCTGGCAGCCACGAGCTGTGGTATACACACTTCGCGTCGGTACGTATTTCATCTCCGCCGTATAGTGTAACATGAAAGGGCTAGTGTTAGAGGGCCTAGAAGGATATTCTTATTGTATAATAATCATCTATGCAGCTAAACATGCCATGAAAGTCCCCCCCTAGCCCCCTTCAACTGAGCAGGAGAACTACAGTCTTAATGTCTGAATAGCCTCGTCTGAATCTCCGGCTTCGCTGATCTGGTAACTGTCTGTCTCGGGAATTAGGTAGTTTGCGGGAGTCATTAGAATCGGCGGCTTACCTGCGATCTAGAATTCGATTTCTTCCTTTTTCTTTCTTTTCTTCGGTGCCGCAAGTTACTAATACACAGACAGCAGCAGGGGCAGCAACAGCAATAACAACACCCAAGTACGACCACGACCACGACCACCATCATGACTGACCCCGGCGCCCCCTGACCTGCCACGCTCGCTCGAATACCATGCGAACTGGTGGTGGGCCCCCGTCGCCGTATATTAGGTACCGAAAGAATACGGATCGTAGCATGTAGGATGGTAAATTACTCCTACCACTATATACTTCCTCTATATAATTACAGCATACCGGTGATGGATGGGATGTGGTCGGAAGAGTCTTGTCCATCATTCACCGATATAGACGGTGACAAGCTTTTGAACTGGGCTGATGAAGACGTTGGCGTTAGTCGATTCAGTCTGTCTACCTGGCTATCCCTGCTTCCTCACTAAACAACTACCTAATAACACCTGCCCCCCTTGTGCTTAGTCGGTTGGTACTTACCCCATGACAGCCCGATTCAAGGCTCACTGGCCGTCATTTGAGTCAATCTACTTACATATTGGTAATTATATGTCTCCGACCAGTTCATCGTCATCTAAGCACACGCACCACAACATAAATTGGAGGCAATCTAAGACGTTTAACCATATCCTTAGACCTGGGAGCTCCAAGCTACGGTAGGGCCACCGGGAGTATCCAGTTCCATACCAGAGTCATCAAGTGGACACAGTTGAACTATCCAGACACTTGAAATTATACGAACCTTGATGGATACGGGAATACCTCCCCAAACTCTCCAAAAATAAGACTATCACAATATGGACCGTTGACTAACAAACTCTATATGAAAACTTAATTAAAAAAATTACTTCATAACTCTATGTCTTCTCTAGTGTCCTGTTTAGCATTTTTCTTTAGAAGTTATTACTAGTATTTCCCCTACGCTATTCGAGAGACATTGTAGCGATAGCTCGGTAAAGCCTATCGTGAACAGCTCCGGATCTTCTGCCTCTCTCCCACTCTCTTTCGTTCATAGCAGTCGATCGCAAAATAGCTAACGGGCTTCTGCTGGCGAGGAGCTTTATATTCGAATTCGACGCCCCCGACGCCCGAGCCGTCAGCCACCCGTCGCTGTGTTTTAGTTTCAGGGACTCCCGCCTCGCCCGAGGAACCCCGTCTAAAAAGAGTTTGAAGCGGCAGGAGCTGGTTCCACTCACCCCGAAAGCTATAGGCACAGTACATGGATTTACTCAGTGGGAGGTCGTGACAAATACATAATATTTAGCTGCATGCCTTGCGGTCTCCGAGCAACCATTCCGGATATAAAAATAATTTTTTTAGCACTCTTTTCTCCAGGTAATTCGGTGATATAAACCTGCTTGGTGTGCGCCCCCCGGCCCGGATATGCAGGGTCTAAGCCTTGGCCCTAACCCTATCTCCTGGGCTGCTTGTCTGATTGAGTATAAGCTTTACCAATATAACCTTACCGATTCACCTGTTCCTCGGCAGAAATGATGCTACTTTTATTCCTAGCGATGTAGGATACTTCTATCATAACAAGTACCCTGCAGATATAGAAGGCCCACGCAGATTTCCTCTGCGTAGGTGGACGCTTGAGGTCGGAACGGTTTATTACGTATCAAGCCTAAGTTCATGGCCGACGTTGGAGTTTCTTCTGATAAATTATATCCCTTGAATCTCCCCGTGACCTTTGTATAATTCTCTTATTTGACTTGATTACTGATTCAAGATGTGATCCCGATTTCCTAAATCAAGTTCAATGTTGCTTCAAGTCCTCCCCTGCCTATAAACCTAACAATCTAACAGCCTTGATCTAGGTGTGTATTGCCGCGGATAGCTAAATAAGTTTTTTTCATTGAAACTATGTAGGATACGCTTACGTCAAAGGTATTGCGTAGGCTATGTCTGTTTATGTTTATAAAATACGCCTTCCTCCTATTTTCTGTTTCTCTCTCTCCATTACTTTCGTTACCCACTGATAGTGTCTGATACCCATTGATCATTCGAGCCTTATTCATTGATTATTACAATCAATATCGCCAATTATACTATCATTACACCAGTCGATATACCACAGTCGACCAATATGCTCCGCACTCTCCGCAACAAGATGAGCACCGCCTCTCAACCGGCATTGGCCTACCAACAGATCAACGGCAGACAACAGGATCTGCTCCCCGATGCGCCCTCAAATTACACTACCGGGCCCCAGCATGACAGGGAAAGCGACCCCCCGAGCTACGAGAGCGTCGCCTCCCGCCCAGCTCGCGCCAGTCTCGCGCACCGACTGGCCAACATGTTCAAGCCAAGCAGCAAGAAGCCAAAGACGCCAAAGCCAGTCAACCCCACACATGAGGCCACGCTGAACCGGATCGCCCTTGCCGAAGCGGAGATCAACCTAAGCCAGGAGCTCGAAGCCGCCACCAGGCGCTTACCACACGCGTCGTCCTACGGGACATTCGACCAGCAGTAAGTCCCCTGTAACCATTATTTTCCCCTTTTGGCAAGTTTCGGGCCTCCTTGCTCCTGCATGCTCCCGAAACATGAACTGAAATCTTACTCTTGTCGGCAATTACTAACTCCAGCATGTAAACAGCGCCGAGGAGCTGTACAGCCGCCTCGTGACCCTCATCGGCGCCGACATCGGCCCACAAATGTGTCTGCCCGGGACACCGCGCGCCGAACTCATCGGTCAAAAGCTGGTCCACCTCCGGGTCCTCGAGGCGCTGCAACGCGATGTCCACAACTGCGCCGTCGGGATCAAGATCTGCCAGCGGGCATCGCTCTGCCCTCGCTACACGGGCATGACCTCAACCACCGCGCTCAAGCGAACCGGCGAACTCACCAGGCTGCACGGCGCCATCACTTCGGAGATCACGGACGTCAAGGCCAATTTAGCGCACATCGATTATCTCATGGCAGAGATGATCTGTGAATACAATGAATTAGGCGCTTGAGCATCGACCTCGCGCGGGAACAAGTTTGGATATTATTGCGATTTACGACGAATTTGGCTACGACAACGATACCCATGTTAAGCGCCACTGTTTACGGATTTTCGATCATTGTGGAGGATAATGGATGGAACTCATGGGCCCCAATATTTTTATATGCACCTGCCTGTCTTTGATATAATGTCCTATGCCTGCCTAATATATCAATGTTATTCCCTACTCCAATAGATATCTTTGATGCAATTGTGAATGTGACATGCTAAATGTTATGCTTTCCTCTTACACGCCAATACCCCTTTTATTAGTCCAAGGATACCTGTGTAATAAATTTGTGTGGTATTAATTGTGTATTTTGTGTTTATTCTAATCTTTTTTAAAACCTTTTATTGGAAAGCTTTGCTTTCCCAAGCACGTATTAGCAATGATAATTAAGTGCGAGGGAAGGCGGAGCTTGAGAAGTTCATATCCGGAACCCCCTTAAACTCTAAAAGTGTCCGCAGCCCTCCGATTGGTTAGTTCACTATCTGCAGCCTATAGGTATAGCAGCATATTATTCTATACGGGTTATAGAGTTAACTAGGTAGAAGTTAACCAGGTAGATACGTATAAAAATTTAAATTAAAGTGCCTTGCACTTTGATTTTCAACGTATTTAAAATGGGAGCTTCGCCGGCAAAGCTTTCCATTTTAGGGACAACTAGCTTGGCACTACACGGTTTTTTTTCTCTACCGCTTATTTATACCAGTATCCAACATTTATTTAATCGCTATTACAACGATTCAAATCTAGTAATTACTACACCAACCACTCCTATGTATAAATTTATATTAATAAATCCTCATGGTAGGAATTCTAGGTAAAGCTATGCAAAGACCTTCTTTGTTGTACAGAGATCTACTTAATCTATAGAATTTAACGTCCACGATCTAAGTATTGGTGTGTACCCCGAATTTGTGTGTGTGTTGTATGTAAATTTTGGGTGGAGACTGACACTTCGATTCGAAACTAGTGTACGCCCTGTAAAGGTAAAGTGGCGCCTTTTGTCGCGCTGTAGACACAGCGAGAGGAATTCTCCTGTTCCCTCGCTTCTCGGAAAAGTTGTCGTGATTTGTGACAATCGGCGAGGTCGCTACCTTTCCTTAGCTCTGAAGCTTACGCCGCCGGGCACGGCTTATCCGGCCTCTCTTTCGCGTTGCTGGGCATTATGAAAATTC